GGAGCAATGAATACAACATGTCAGAAGAAGCTGGATCACAACAAGTACCATAATAATAAATAAATCAATAGTGGTACTCTCGATCATATTTCTGAACAGGAAGAACAAGAAGATAGCAATCAACACTCAGCAATCGCTAACTTCAAATTCAACAGGCCAGATACCTTTAGGATCGACCGTACATCGATTTAATCATGGCACTACCGGTCTTTATTTAACATTCACTTGAAAAAAACTAATCACCATAAACCAGCATCTGTGAATACGAAAAAGCAATAGACAGCTTGGATAGGAAAACATTTTGAACACTATAATGAACGCGAGAAGACAGTCACAATAGCACTGTCTTAACACTATGAACTACACCACAAAATATAGCAAGGAGCGCAGTTCATTGGTGCATTCCAAGTGAAGATCGATGTCAAACAAAGTTGCTTACTCTCACCATTTCTGTCTTCTCTTACTTCGTTACTTACTTCCTTACTCACTTACTTACTTACCTACTTACTGACTGACTTACGTACTTACTTACTTATTCACTTATTTACTTGCTTACTTACTTACATACTTACATACTTACTGTCTTACGTATTTACTTGCTTACTTACTTACTTACTTACTTAATTAATTAATTAATTAATTACTTAGTCACTCACCTACATACTTACTTACTCACTCATTTACTTACTTACTTACTTAATTACTTACTTACTTACTTACTTACTTACTTACTTACTTACTTACTTACATACTTACTTACTTATGCACTTACTTACTTACTTACTTACTGACTTACTTACTTACTTACTTACAGACCTATTTCTCTGCTTAACCTTGTATCACCTAGTTGGTTTTCTAGTAGTTGGAGTACATAATCTCAAACCTAACTCTCCTTCTTTGTCTAGGTTTGGGACAGACAGTAACTGTACATAGCCTCCCGGTGAAATGAATACTGGCTCGAAAAATGACTATGCTCTATTCATTCTAGACATAATAATCTTAGCTAATTTATTAAACACTCCTAATTTTTCTTTCTTAATGAAAATAATCACCACGTCATCATACGCATCATCATGAAATTGGAAATTCTCTTGTTTGAACTGTTTTTCTCTACTCTTTTCCTGTCACATTAATCATTGTCAAAATTGCCAAGAGTTCAACTACTAATACAAAATCTACGTAAATAAATAGTTGAGCACGTATTTTTTCACAATGAAGCCCTTGTTCTTTTCTCTCTTTTGATACTGTCAGCACACAACATCAAATGCATTGAATACAATGAATGTTGAACATTGTACATTGAACGACAATAACAACAATAAGCACAAATTGACAATTTGACATTGACCTAATAAGAATAGTTTTTTTTTAACTTAATTACAATAAACTATCTGAGTGTTTTTTAAATGGTTTTTTTTAATTAGCTTTTCTGTGCTATTACTAGTATCATTTTGTTGAGTTTAGGCAAATCAGTTTCGAAATGACAATGTGTTAGAGAATTCAGGTCAGTAGCCTATACTAACTACACTGGGGATGATAAAAGGCGCAACTTAAAGTAAGTAAGTAAGTACGTTAGTGAGAACTACATAACGCTATCAACAACTGTTCAACTCTTCAACACCTAGTTTTCATCTGTCGAACAGTGAATCATAATGCTTCACAGAATTTCAAACTCCTACCTATACAAAATTTCTGTGTCATAGTAGTGGAAGTGTTATCAGTAGAATATGTAGTAGTAGTAGTAGTATTAGTATTAGTAGTAGTGTAGTGAACGAGGACACAGGTGGGGCAACCGAATTGTATAAAACGAAAATTACAGAGTTACTCAGTAAAATCGGAACAACATATCGTAAATCGTTAATTTGCAAAATATCAGTTCATCATATCGAACTGGACTGTTCCTGTTGCAAAACATTAATCCATTGTCACTACTATTCATGCGTTTCATACAAATTCCATTGTGTTCTATCTCTTCCTTTCTTGATCTTCCACCTTCTTCTGCTGCCCGACATTACGTTGACACTCACGTCATATACTACTTATAAGTAGCTCACGCCACAGTAGTAGTAGTAGTAATAGTGTGAATCGTAATATTAGCACTAGCGTTCTTTGTTATTCTTATAGTTATGAAGACATCTGTGATCTACTTTCTATCATCTGTCACCATAATGTCATGGCGTTTGACTTCTAATTCATATTCATGTAAACGAAGCTAAAGAGGATATTCACTTTGTCCTATGTAGTATTCATCACAATCTGAGCAATTTATTTTGTTGATGATATTTGGTTTTCCTTCCTTTGTCATTTCGTCCTTTAATCTACAACATAGGATTGATTGAAGTGATTCTGTTGGTTTGTGTGCCACACCTATTGCAAACTATTTCAGTACGCGTGTTTTAGTTTCCGATGTGCCATTTAAGAATGGTAGATTGGTCCGTTTATTGGTTTCAGTATTTGATTTCGATTCTGTTGACGATTTTACCTGATGATTCTTCATCAAGCCATAAGATGTTTTTCTCCGTTTTCTAGTGCTTCATATATGCATATGCATATATATTCGCTCTTTTGATTTTGTGGGTTCTTTAGTTATTTTAACTGAGTTGAGAATTACGTCTGTGTGGATTGGCTTCCGAAATATTTAAAATGTCCAGTTTTCCTGTGTTATTTCCGGTGATTAGTACATCCAGGAATGATAGACTGTTGTTTGATTCTTTTTCCATAGTGAATTTTATGTCTTCGAAGACGTTGTTTATCCGATTGCAGATGTTCTCCAGCTCGTGTATCGTCTACATATCGAACTCACAATTTTGACTTGATCACTGATAAAACCGACTCTTCTAGTATCTTCATTACAGCTTCCACGATGAGTCCTGATAGTGATGATCCCATTAGTGTTCCTTTTGTTCGTTCGTAGACTCTGTTTTTGAATTGAACATACGTCGTTCTAGCAGACCAGACCTTGGCTTTGAAATCTCATATATTCATGCAGATTTGCGTCGTTGAAAAGGAGTAGAGAAGAAGTTGCTTTAGCTGAGCTTGGCTCAATTGATGTGAATAAGGCTGTTACGTGCAAGGTTATCATCGTTTCTTCGTTGTCGATTTAAATCCCGTTGAGTTTATTCGAGAACTTGGTGAATAACTTAATGGAGTAGTTGAATTCATCCTCCAGATGTTTTATTTTTCCATGAAATTTCTCTTGATAAGTTGTAGGTCGTGATTGTAGGGAGAGATACAATTGGACTTATGGGAATGTTGAGTTTTTAGGTGTTTCCGCCAATCATAGAATTGCAGAATTACCGGTCCACTGGATTTCATTTTCCATTGATCTTGTTTTGATATTTGTCCTGCTTTGACAAGCCTATTTAGAGTCCTTCAGATTTGGTTGTCCAACATTTTTATTGAGTTTATGTCGATTGGTTTAATGACGATACTGTTCTCAAGTAGATTCTCGGCTTTACAAGCTTGACATTCAGGTCAATCAGCAAACAACAAACACATCAACGTTGGCCCCAATTTATCAACCAATCTGAAAAATCATAGGCAGACATAAATGCAAAAAACAGGTCGTTTCACTGCGGATACAGTCAAAATAAAGCTGCACACAATGACAGGATAAACGTCAACAGCAACCGATCAACATCGAGTTTAACAGAACAAGCCATGGGTCATATGTGGACAAATTTCGAATACTTCACTTCTCTCCGAAGTTTGTGTTGATGATGTTGTTCAGAAGGCGAACAATGAAAGTTCCACAACAAAAACATCCAACTCACAGAACCAAACACCATCACAATCACACACACGACCTACAAATTTTCTATACCATCTCATTAACAGTTGTCTACACAATATGTTGCACATCAATAAGCCAGACATCATGAGCAAGAAATTAGTGTGATGAAGAACAAACCCAAATCCATTTGAGGATGGAATCAGAAGGAAATGCTTGAGGTAGATAAGACATAGATTTTAAAACCACGCAACTGCATTACTGACTTACTTTTCTAAGGAATGGGGCTGGTTAACTCCATGACCAACCTATGAGCTTGTCCAACTGAGCATTGTTTACGCCTACTCGCTTACTCATCCTTTTCGCTTTAATGTTAATCTCTTAATATCCTCATGAACTCACATGATTTGTATCGGTTGTCATTTGACCTTGTCAATCATTCGTCGCTTTCATTCATGTCTGTGCATGCCTATTTCGCTTGTCATATGTCCGTCTTATTTCTGGTCTGACTATATATTCTTAGTCATGCTCTATCTCTTTGAGTTAGCTCTTAGCCTTCTCCAATTCCGCTTCGCTTTGTAGTGTGTCCCGAATAAACGTATTCATCAATACGAGTCCATGTTCTGATTTATAAACCGAGCTTAAGAACACGCATTATATCGACACACTACAGCTTTAGTTATGATCAAGAAAAATCATGCCTTATTCATTCTCATCACAATATTTTTCATATTTTATCAAAGACTACGAATTTTTCTTTCTTAATGAAAATAATCACCACGTCATCATGAAATTAGAAATTCCATTGTCTGATTTTTTATCTCTACTCTTTTCCAGTCACATTAATCTTTGTCAAAATTACCAAGAGTTCAACTACAAATACAAAATCTACATAAATAAATATTTGAGCACGTATTTATTCACAATGAAACCCTTGTTCTTTTCTCTCTTTTAATAATATCAGCACACAACGTCAAATGCATTGAATACAATGGATGTTGAACATTGTACATTGAACAACAATAACAGCAACAAGCACAAATTGACAATTTGACATTGACCTAATAAGAATATTTTTTTTAACTTAATTACATTGAAATATCTGAGTATTGCGTAATTGAATTTTTTTTTTAGTTTTTCACTGTTATTTTCATAATTTTTTTGGCATTAGATATGAATGACGTAGTACATAATTTCATATAAAATGGTGTAAACTGAGACGAGATTACAGACTTCAGTGAAAATGATGTGCCATTCATTCTTCTATGACATGATTGTGTTATTAGTTTTAGTTCTGTGTGCCACAGTAACATTTCGTAAGTCTTTCAATTGTAACATATTCATAAATTCTATTCTGTACATTTTTTAATGTTTTTGTAAACATATGTATGTGGTGTGTAGTACATTTGGTCAGATGTAAACTATCTGTCTTGATGAAAATGTTAACAGTGACGTTGAAGCATGTTAAAATATCTTTTGTGTATTAATTGTTCAAATATTGTCATTGATGCCTTTGGACTGTAATAATTGATCAGTAGTCTATTTGTCTTATGTGAATTCTGTACAAGTTGTCTCAATATATTACCAGTATATAAGTATTAGAATCATTAGCAAATGACTATGTTGACTACCAGTGATATTCAACACTCGAGTTTCATAAAATTCAAGGTGCACATATATCCAAGTAATCAGTCTCACATAAGATGAAAAACGTGTTCTGACTACCACCATTGACAGACATCATACAAATCTATCATCAGTAATGAAAAATTTAGATATTTTCAGATGACGTTTTTTCTTGGTGACGGCAATTCTCGAGAGAGATTCTTAACTCGAATAAGTCGATAGAGGTGGTAGATAGGAATTGTGAGAGAGAGAGTAGATTTCTCAAGTTGAATGATTAGTAGTGTAAATGCTATAAAATTCGAATAGAGCTCGTTATGATCATACAACGGTTGCTGACATGCCCTTAAAACGGTGCTAACTGAATACAAGTACACTTTAAGTTTATAATATGCGAAATAATTTATATTAACGGAATGATAAAACTTTAATTTAAAGTGAATGAGTTTGTGTGATAATTAACTTTGATATAAACTATATTAAGTGGAGATATATCAAACTAATAATGAACTGAATACGGCATGTAGCATAATAGATGAATCTATTAAAAAGTTTCATTAGATAGTAAATAACCGAAAATATTCTAAACTTGACATTTAATTGAAATTGATTTCACATTAATTCCTCGATTACTGATATGTAAATGATCGAATATGAAAGATGAAAGCATCTGTTTTATCAATACAATTTAATGTGTGCCTGAATCAACTGATTTGTATATTGATTGCAACTGAACTAACTATATGCATATATTGTAGAAACTGAAGAACAGACCATCATTACTCCAACGGACCCTGCCAACGATTCGCAAAAACCACAAAGTAATTAATTCCCTGTTTTCAGTTACAAATATTTGATCGGTTATTTCACATATCGTACCTATCTGTGTGTGTATGTGAACGTGCTTGTCTGCATTAGTGTGCGTGAGTGTGTGTGGATGAGACTCTGAGAGATGGACCTGTGTCTCAATGTGAAATGTTCACATCTCCATCAAACATAACATTTTACGTCGAGTGAATAGATCACTGTGACTATGGTTTCAGTGGAGCTTCCTTATTCGGCACCCTGCTTATTTATTCACTGAGAATGAGAGACACTGCAAAAATGAATGTGCCCTGAGTGAATACACGAAATAGTGTAGAAGTCGCGCGACACGAATCATCATTCTCCAGCTATCTGTGTTTCGCTCTCTTCATTCTCAGCAATAATCCTGAATACCACTGACATTGGATTGTGTTAGGCCTGCACGTAAACACGTCATTTTGATATGCTTGAACTATTACGAGTTTACCTAGTCGGGAAAATGATAGCAGGGATCGAGTATCCGGCGACACGACATGCTACACAAATCCGATTATTTCAACCGCCATACTGAGTAAAATAAGAAGACTTGATATGAAGTAGAACCTGTATTCTACAAGCATCCAAAAATTACGATGAACGAGTGCAGTAGTGTATCAGGACCTCGAACTAGGGATGAAGGACCAGTTACTTGTCCTTGTCCTGATAATAAAACGTTACACATAATGCGTATTTATACATTTTGTTCGAATAGGAAACAGCATCGAATTCTGTGACATTGACAGTTACGACAACGACCAATAGGAAGCGGCATTTGCAGTGACATTGATAGTTAGGACAACAAATAAGAAACAACATTGGAGCACGTGACATTTTCATCTAGCAAGACCACGGTATTGACCAGTAGGAATAACCCATAGGAACTGACAAATAATTAATTCTCTTACCATATTGCATGAATATCCTAACATATTATCTCTTGTGCAACTCTGATTGATTTGCACTTGTTTGTGTGATGCGAAAGCACTGAAACAGAGTCTGTGCTGGAATAATGTAGTGTGAACCAGTGTGTGCTTGTGTGTGTGTGTTTGTGAGTGTGTGAGATCGTGTTTCACTAAACTATCGACAGTACATTTAAAGTGACTGAAATGTTTATGAGAATTTAGGATGTGGTACTGATTTGTCAATGATCGAATATGAATGATGGAAGCACTTGTTTTATCAATACTATTTATTGTATGCCTGAATCAACTGATTTCTATATTGATTGCAACTGAACTAACGATATGCATATATTGTAGATGGTACTGATCAGAGGCTAAGGAATGCAATAGCTGCTTTGGGAATACTACAAAGTAATTCATTAAACAATTTCCAAATATTTTATTCTTTATTTCTGGTTTTGTTTCTCTGTGTTTCTTATGTAATGTTTGTGTTTATGTACTTGAGAAAAAACCAACAGCGTGTAAATGTGAAATTTTCACATCTCAACTACATAAAACATTTTACTCAAAATGAATTCTTCACATTGAATTTACTACTCTTATATTAGATTTCTTTGTCCACTCTCATTTATTTGAAGCAACCGAAAGATACTAACGAAATGATCACCTTCTCAGTCGAATGCATAAGATAAAGTAAAAGTCAGATGAGCAGGAGAATCATTATCTACCATCTGTGTTTCGTTTGCTTCATTCTCTGCCGTCATCATTCTCGTCAATGACTTTCGATTGTCTATTATCCTTACAGTGATTTCGATTAGTTTATATAATCCAAATGCATTGAAAACAGTTTGCATTAAAACAATCTGTACAGATGGATGATCATGGTGTACATGGAGGAAATTGTTGAAATGACTGAATTTCAATTTAGTTCTACAAATGTTTTTAGCATATATGTATTGAATATTTTACTTCAAATTGATCATTGAACATTCTTATCATATAACTCTTCTCTTGTTACAATTGTAGATGATTTGATTCAAGATCATTTGAATTTAAACAGAACTGAACAAGCTATACAAGAACAAATCGGTAATCTATTTTTAACCAATCGAAATACTCAATATAGATAGATTTTTGTTTTATTGAGTTGATTTAGTAAAAGTATATGAAATGCACTTATCACAACGTATGGAATATACTATCGATCAATGAGAGTTAAATGGGTTGGGTTTCAGATAACGTCAAGAGACACATTTTAAATTTTACTGGTTGCATTGAATTTAAAGTAGGCCTCACCATTATTCAATGGTTCAGGATCTGATTCCTGTTTGATTGAACGATCAAGTATGCAATGAAATCAATTTTCCCATTCAATTTACGCATAATAAATATGGCGGTAATGAGAAACTGAATCCGGATTCAGTTGGATTGCTTTATTCCAGACAATCGTTCATACAGACAGACATAAGAGTGAAAAGTGTACAAGCCATGCGAGTTGAATTCAAGAAGATGAGTGAGCGAACTCAATAAGATGAAGCATCATTTAGTATCAACATAGTCGGACAAAAACGTTAGTAGGCACGCTCTAATATACACTGAAGAAAAAACACCAAAGATATGAGAGAATAAGGTCAAAAGATCGGTGGATAATGATTTTGGGCAGATAGAATGTTAATTGGTTTCTCCAAACGTTGAAACAAATCCTGTGGCCTCAACACATTTGACAAAACATATGCATAAAAGGAATCAAACAAGTCATCTCTTCACATGAACAATAGTTATGCATTACTTAGATATCAGTTAGACTTACGTAACAGTGTAAAATACTCACTAGGATTGATCTCCATGCGACCAATTGTCAAATTAAGTAGTATATATAATATACATGATGCAAAGTCATGATTTTCCCAAATCCTAATGATGTAACATTCATTTGTTTATATGACATTGTAGATTTGGTCGCACAGACGTTATCAATTAATCGTACAATACTTCAGTACTGTAAGTCAATGTCATCATGAGTCAAATACTCAAAACATTAATACATTGTAGATGTGGAATGTGTGAACTATATTACAAAACGACAATATGGATCATATAGTGGAGAAGGTATATGGAAATAGATAACTTATCTCATAACATAATGTTTCATATTCAGTACTCACATATTGACAGATTGATTCAATATCAGTTAATAGTTTTAGACGATTGCTTATTAAATTTAATAATATTTATCTCTGATGAATTTCGATGTTGCTTCAGTTTGTTGTGTGTTTGAGTTTCGATCTTTTCATTGGTTAAAACAGTTGTGTTGTTCTCAACTGTGTGTAGATACATAGACTCAATTAGTATAGTCAACGAATTCCTACTGTACTAGGATGATTGTATATCTCAAATACTTACTTACCAACACCTGTTGCCATTAATGGAGCAGACGCCAACCACCACCTAATTATTTGTTTTAGCTCATTGTTTTTCGACGGGATGACATCGCTAGACTCATGCTCAATCCTCTTGCTTTATCTGCGCTTGGAATCAGCAGTAACCCCTGATGAGCGTCAGGCAGAGTTTTAATTTCTCATTTTATTACCATTAGATTAGATTTATAGAATGTTTCATTGTCATACAATCGGGATTTCTTAATGACTTGAATAAATTCATTGCCATTAATGATGATTATGATGGTACACAGTAGAGAAATTCCAACGTTTTATTTATTACGAATAGTGTTCATCATCAAAATGACGAATGAACAAATGAATACAATGTTTGCAGTCATAAATCGATCAGCTTCATAGCTTCATCAACATTTAACAATACATGGGTACTTAAAATCTCACCATCATTAACATCAATCTCACATACATACAGTTACTTCAATCTGATTGACGAGTCAACTCAACTCAATTCAGTTCACAAAAAACACACATAGTTAGTGTTTCAACGGTTCAATAAATTTCCCAAATATACAAATCAAAATCTATGGTATTATTGATTTTATTTTTGTAAACGAACAAAGAAAAATGCATTCAGTAGTGTTGTTAATGACAATTCATATTACAGTTAAATCTAATTCTAAACTTACATTTCATTTAAACAAAACAAATTATACAATGTTTACAAAATAACATTTTCATGTTATTTTTCAAATGTATTTTTTTACTTTAGAAATACAACAAATATTATCTGCTTTAAGGAATGAATACAGTATGTGTGTGTGTGCTTTTTAAATAGTGAATTCGTTTGTACTAAAGAAATGAATGAATTATTTACTTAGCATTTGTGATACAATTTATTATATATCTCTATATATTACTTATATACGCCTGTTACTATCAATGCAGCATAGGCCGCCAATCATCAGTATTCTCCAACCTTACTCTGTCCTGCGCTTCCTTTTCCACTTCTGTCTAGATTTTGTTTTAATTTCCTCATGTTCTATATACCTAAAAGAATGGTTGCTCTGATTGTCAGAAAAAGCATCAAACCTCGTGACTGTAGAAGGAACTCGACATTCATCATGAGACATCATAACTCTTCTGAATCTTCGAAGTCCCTTGGCTATCAAGTTAAAATGCCTTGAATTATTAGTTAGTTTTCTAAAGAATGTGGCCTGGTGACTGCCGAAATCTCAGCTCGGATACAGAAGGCTCGATTAGCATTTGCTAACCTGCGTCACTTATGCCGAAGGCGAGATATCCGTTTGCTGACTAAAGGACGAGTGTACTGTGCAGTGGTTCGCTCCGTCTTACTTTATGGCTGTGAAACATGGCCAGTGAGAGTAGAAGATATTCGTAGGTTACTGGTTTTCGATCATAGGTGTCTTCGAAGGATTGCTCTTATATCCTGCGACAACCGAGTGAGCAGCGCTGTTATTAGGAATCGGGTGGTAGGTAAGAATTGCAGATCAATAGATGAAGTGGTGAAACTTCATCAGTTGAAGTGGTTGGGACATGTGCTGCGTATGCCCAACCACCGATTGCCTCGTCGAGCTTTGTTTTGTAGTATAGGAATAGGTTGGAAGAAAGTTAGGGGCGGCCAGACTTTAGCCAGACTAAAACATGGCAGAAATCCATGAAGTCATTGACGAGTGGAATTAGCCATGTCGATAATTGTCAACTACCTGGTTGGGGTCCACGAGATGATTATAATAATCGATGGTTAGAGACCTTGAATGACATGACTCAAAATCGTTCGCAATGGCGCCGGTGCATTTATGCTTTGTGTTCTCTCAAATCCTAATATTCTGGACTCTTCAACCCCTCTAGTTTAGACTCTCTAAACTTTTCTCACTGAATCATACTTCTTGAATAGTATCTTCTAATCCTAACCTCTCCGATTACTTCTAATACCCTTACTAACTCTTCTACTATTGGATTTGAATTGACAATTACATCTCTGTGCTGATGTGGTTTCGCGACATGAACTGATGTACTTACGTACGAAGTTCTACGTTGCTGACTGACAGAATGTGGCCTTCAACCTTATGCCTAAATATATATATATATATTCATTTAATATATCTAAACAAGGTATAAATTGAACAAAGTTGAATTTCTTTTCAATTCAAAACACTGCAAGAATATAATAGATATTTTACTGACTGACATCCATGTAACTACTACTTTCTTTGCAATATGATTTCAATTAAAGTCTATTCCCAAAAAAAAAAATAAAACTCACTGATTTTAATCCATGTAGATGTAACAGTCCCGGGATATTCAACCACGTACAACTGTTTTACCACAGAAATGGAAAATTATCAAGGTAAGTGTAAAAACATTCAGATCGATTTATCTATCTATTCAGTGTTTCCATTGATACCATATAAAAATTATCTTTTGCAAAGTGAAACCAATTGATTTTGTTTAGCATACTGTGACAACATGTTGTTCAAATAATGAATGGTTTCACAGTCTAGTGTAAATTGACTTCTTAAGATATCATGATTGTTTTTACATCATTTAGTGGAATTAACCGTAACTACGTAAATTCTGAATTCTCAATGAATTAAACCATTTCCTACCGTTTCGAAATTCAATTGCAATTCGTTGTTACATTGAAAAAGAGATTGTTAGTTCCCACACAATCACTAGGCATCATGCACTGTAAACCCTGTGTGAAATATATGGTGTGAAATGAATAGTTAGCCGTGACATAACGAACATATAGATTCTGCAGCTCTCATTGATGACATATTTCACTTTGAGTATTCTGAGTAACAGTTGTGTGTATTATTTTGGAACATTAGTAGTACTGTTGAATGATTCAAAGTATCAGTCCGACTGAAGTTGAATAAAACGAAAAATAATTGATGTGTAATTCACATAGTCCAACTGATCGGTCAACATTCAACTTTATCACAAATAATCAAATAATATTGTTTATTAGAGTGATACGAAAGAAAATGTTCAATTCTGTTATTAACATGATTCAATCCTTAGAGAAATATTGATTTTATTATTGACTGATAATAGCAGATGTAATGAAAATGAATAGAGATTTCTTTCAGTAAATAAATAACAACATATAAAACTCGAATCTTGCATTCATTTAGAAAACGTGTATTTCCATTCATCTGAATGGTAGTTGGAACTGGTTATATTCAACTATGACAGTTATCTCTCCACTTTCGATAGACGAAAACTGTTTCGCTTTTCTCTCAAGTAACAAATTGAAGATATTAACTATCCGTATGAATTCTTTCTCATTAAACAGAAATCACTACTGCATACAACAATGAAATGTGTACAACACCTGAACCGAAAAATCACACAGGTAAGTCGAAGTGAATCCAGAATTATGATAAACATATGCTAGATTATCATGAATGTTAAGACATATGTATACCTATACATTGACACATTCAATTTAAGAAAAACAACTAATTCTACTTTGATATTTTCCAGATATCAAACAATTTCCCACTTTGATTTTCAATAAATATGAAGCTGCTGTGGTTTTCACCAAACATATATGTAAGTAATAACCAACTAAATTCTATTTTGAAGGATAAGTGGAGACTGATGATCAGTGCATTTACAAAACACACAACTCAGTCAATTTCATGTTTATGTGAAGTGTGCATTGTTAGTGATTCAAACAATGGTGAATATAACTAACACATACAAGATGAAACAAGACAACCAAACGTACTTGTCACAATGGTGTTATTGAAATAAATTTCTCCTCTGCCTTCCAGTACAATAACACGGTAGGTAGGTAGGTAGGTGATACGATAAAATAAAAGGAAATAGTTGAATTGAATACTCAATCGATACACTTCACACAGAATGGATCACATTATGTCGGATAATCGATTCATGATCAAATAGAGAACTAGAATAACAGATAACCATCATTCCATTGCACACAATTCCAAGCAGTCTCACTTTCAATGTGTCTACAGTGTAACAAATCATCAATAAGAGAAAAGGGATCCACATATTCAATAGTCAGTAGCGGCATGTGAGTGGCTGTTTGTCCACACTCAATGACCAATCACATTTCACTTTCACAATCACCAAAGTCAATGCTAGTGAGTGACTCATTCAAACATGAGTGACATGTGAATCATTGATTTGCATTATGAACTGGTTTGTGAAGCAAACCTGACAATGAGGCTGGCTACACTATTGATCCCATCTTATAACAATAATCTAATCAATGTTTGTTTGCAAATATTTCAGTTAAATATGAATTTTTATCAGTCATAACTGATGAGCTACGACGCACACGAAACTGAAAAGCATAACTTGTGAGTCGAATAAATTTGTTTCGACCACTAAATTCTATTGTGTAATTATAAGTAGTATATTTTATGGAGATGAAATGCAAAGGGTGATTTTAATTGATGTAAGTGTACAGGAGAGCAATGTCGCGCATAATACTGGTAACAAGAGAATCCAAATCAGTACAACTGACTGAACCTCCATTCAGCGAATTGATTGTATTCGAGGCTGTCAGTATGAGGTTCACATATCAGTGTGAACATCAACAGTGAAATGTTTATACATGCATTTGACAAATGACTAAGAAAATGAAACTTCCATTCTGAATTCCACTACTAGTCACAATCCTATTGACTAGTTGCGAATAATCAATAGATGATATCGACTGAATTGAGAATACATGAAATGAGAATCCCAATATACAATTAATTGAAAATCGCCCTTAGAACAAATTCATGACAGTTAATTCAAAAGGATTTCTCACCCGTTTTCATTCAATTCATGATTGCATTTGATTGTGATGATGTTGTTTGTGTAGAAATTACAAACAATGTGACACTTTTGTTGGTGACTTTGATAATTGAATTGAAAATGTCACTTTGCTAACGATGAACAGTTTGTTCAATTTCATTAATTATATTGTTTGATTTCTTCTAGATGATTCTCGAAACACATCAAAGTCACTTGTTCAAATCATGATAGTGAATGTGAAATCTTACTTACTAACTAGTTTAACAAGTGTTTTTTGATATTGTTCTTAATAATAATGATCTAACCTTGTTTTATTCAACTTGTAATAATAGTTGGATAAATAAATTTAGTTCTGGTCAATTTTGTTTTGATATAAACAACTTACATTGGGCTTAGTCGAATTATAATGTTCAAATTCCACTACTCATTGTCATCTGTTTGAATAGTTTCAAGTGCAGACCTGATGAGCAGTACCACAGGAACTATCAACAGTTGAATATATATTGTATTCATTATTGCTATCCTTAATAAGTATTGTTAATAAGTAACCAACGGATGAACAGTGACAACATGCTTGCTATTTTGCGATATTGTGCAAACTGCACACTGAATCGATGGTGGAATTGTTGGCTAGAGTGAAGAATGTAGTTACGTGACGAACTATCTGAGAATATCCGAACGAAAGTGATCATTGCTTAACTGTAACAGGAAGTTCCGGTCTCTCATGAGAATACCTCATCAGAGAATGTAGATGACATGGAACTTTATATTAAATGAATTATCGAAAATCCCATATTGGATACTGTTGATATTGTATAGCAGCTAAAACAACCTTAATGTATGTAGTGATCCCTGAAACTGCTGTCACGAACGGCAATGAAGTCTTCTCTAATATATCATCTAGCTCAGTATCACAATTGAGATAGGTAATCTGCTGGAGGCAACGAATGAGTGTGGCGCAACATCATGGACTGATTGAAGTTGGAGGTTAACACAATTAGATGTCAACTCAGTGGTCTAGAGGTTGAGTTCGCGCGTAGAACCAAAGCTTCCACGTGTGTGTGAGAATCGTCGATGCTCACTGCTGAAGAGTTTCATAAGAGGACGAGACTGTAATCCAATGTTTCCAGGTTCCTGGGGATGCTTTGGTTGAGATCTGTCCGTAATTTCAACCATCAAAATAATATAATCTCCATAAATCCTTTTCATTAGGAAGCTATAATATTATGGCATTACTTAGAGTTTTCATTTATCTGAGCAACTCGTGCATTCTCAGAACACTCGGTAACTGTCCAGAACATTCCATTAGTGGTTTGTAATCAGAACATCAACATCACGGTGACCGATAATAGAAAGCATAGATTACACATGTCTTCATAACTATAACAATAACAACTAATACTACTGCTGAAACTACGATTCACACTATTACTACTACTACTACTACTACTACTACTACTACTACTACTACTACTACTACTACTACTACAAGTACTACTACTACTACTACTATTTCTGCTACTACTATTTCTACTACTAATACTACCACTACTTCTACTTCCAATGGTACTACTATTACTACTACGGAGATGTGCTGATCATACCAGATTGTTACGCCGTGCCGAATATTGATGATTAGTCGGTGGCACAATTGTTGTCGTCGCAGTTTATTGAGAGTGTGCCTGCAGCCGTATCCCAGCAGCCGAAACTAGTAAATGCAGCGCAACCTATGGATTCCGCTGAACTGGCAAAGATGACTCGTCAGCTTATAACACGAACAGTAATTCCGTTCGTGTGCGGAAAGCAGGTGATAAATACTGTCGAGAAGAAGATTGAGGATTTCGATCGTGAGATTGCAGCATAACGAGTGGATCATAAACGGAACGATAAATGTTACGCTTGTGGAGAGGCAGGACATTGGAAGATAAACTGTCCAAGAAGACGACGACGACGATATTTTAAACATTTTAACGTGTTTTCTTTCCACCCTAGGAATCTGGAGGTTCTTGCACTAGTAGATAGAGGGGCAATTTATGCCAGATTGTACATAAATGAACAGGAGGTAGTGTGTTTGATCGATACAGGGGCAGCAATATCGTTAATATGCAAAGAGCAATGTAAGACAATCAAACCATGTACATTAGCTGTCCACACCATAGGAGGGCATATGCTAGAGGTGTTGGGGGTATCTAACAGTATTGTAAAAATGAGTGGAGCTGAGATAAATTTTCCGTTCGTGGTAACCACAAGCTTATCGAAGCCGATATTAGGAGCACATTTCCTGGGAGAGGTAAGAGCGATAATTGACTTAAGAAGCGGAATAGGAGTGGCACTCAAACCAACAGAATCACTTCAATCAATCCTATGTAGACCAAAGGACAAAATAATTAAGGAAAAAAAAATCAAATATCATGTACAAAATAAA